GCTTAGGGGTTTCCAGAAAAATAGGCAGAGGGGTCATCATTCCCGTTGTGGAGTAGAGACCGATTCACGCGCCCAAGCTCGTCATTGCCTGAGAGAAGGGCTTCTGTGCGACTCAGCAATTGATGCAGCTCTCGCTCGGCCTCGCTCTCGCGGCGCCACTCCGTGTCTTCGAGCAACTGCAGCTTCAGCGCGGCAGTGTCCTCCACAACAGCGGTCCGCGCCTCTGGGGAAAGGCGAGCGAAGCGGCGGAACTGCAGTGCGTGGGCAACGTAGCGGTACATTGGGTGATGTGGGAGGCACTTCACCAGCCGCATTGAGCACTGTGTGGCGTCGCGGAAGAGGCATGTGGCCACTAAGTTCTCCTCTCTATCATCGGCTGCAGGGATGAGGAACAGAATTGTGCGGTCGTCAAAGTGGCATCGTATAGTACCGTTCGTCAGTGCCGCAAAGGTCCCAACTCCGTTGATGGCGCTTGTCAAGTACACCACATTCCCCTCCGCTGCCGCCACTGCGAGGGCGGGATCATTCGAAACAATACGCATCCGAGTTCGGTCCACCGCAGCCGCTGCTGTGGCTGCAACTTCTACTGTTACTGATGCCCCTTCTCCAGGAACGCCAAGAGACGATTCACCACCACCAAGACCCGGTACACCAATTGTCTGAACGCCTGCCGCAACAGTTGCAATACCACCGAGCGCTTCTTGCTGCTGTGCGCGCAGGGATGCGAGATTCAGCTGGGAAAGTTGAATGCACGAGGCACCCACGTCTGGGAGATAGCGACCACGGTGGAGAGCAGAGAACGGCGCTTCTTCAAGGACGCCGCTAATGTACAGTGATGAGGTGGCGCCAATTCGGGAGGTGACCATTCCATCCGTGCGCTCACGCGCCGTCATTGATGACAATTCACCTTCAGTGGAGGTCGTCTCGTTGCAGCCACCATCGCGTTGTTCATCCTCACCAGCATTCTTGTCATGTGGGCGCTGGGGAATGACTGGTGGGAGGCCAAGCTCACCGTCAGGGCCCTGGTGGTACGCGTTGTGCGTCCCATCGCGGCGCAAGTGGTGAATGACGTAACTGTTGCACTGCGGCGCGGCAACAACGACACTCTCGTCCTCGCGCACCATCGCCAGCACAGAGCCAATCGTGCAACGAGGTATACAACATCCTAGAATGGCATCAGCATTACTACTGTTGTTGCTCTTGGAGTTACCCGGTGATGGTAGATGAGAGACTGTGTCTATCCTATCTGGGTGCAAACCCCAATAGACAGCGTGCGGCACTCGTCCCATGGGATCTGCGTCGTAGCGCCACACAACACGCTCACTTGGGTCTCGTATAAGACGATTACAGGTTGCATTCTGCATCTGCGAAGTGGCGATGAGAGCGTGGACGTGTTCCCGCTTTATTTTTGAAAACCGACAGGGCTGTCGATCCTGCGCAGTGCGAGGCGTCGTGCGATACAACGTGGGACGCTCCTCTCCGTCCTGCTTCTGTGTAGCAGAGACGATGCTATCAGACCCAACGGCGCCGTTTAGTGGGATCTCCGCGTCGAGCCGCACTGCAACCGCCAACATTTCCGCCCATTCTTCCGGTGGGTCCAGCACGGGGAACGTCTGCTCCACCCAGACGTAATGAAAAGCACGCAGGCTCTCAAGTGTTCCTGTCACGTAGCCGTTCTCGTCCACGGGGCGAACAAAGATAGAGCGTGCACCGTTGCGCTCTACCGCTGGTGCGGGCCAGCGCACGGAAAAGGTCGCCCGCCCGCCGTGAAGTGACAGGGAGATGCGGCGCAACGCACACCACAACGTGGCACGCAATCCATGGCGCTCAAAAAGGCTGCGGTCTTCTGCAATAACGAGCGAATCGATTGGACTATGCTGACGCCACACTTCACACGGGACTGCTGTGAGGCCGGCTATGATGCGAGGCCGAGGGGAGTAGTAGTTGTAGATGTGGAGGGCCTCCTTGACTTTATTCTCATACTTGGAAAGCGTGAGGGATGTAAAAAAGTAGTCACCCTCGTTGCTATCTGCATTATCGCTATTTGTATGACCACTAGAGCCACAAGGCTTTAGCACGGTGTTTGTGGCGGATGTGATAGCAACAAACGTCTGCATCTCGTCGCAAAAGGAGAGCACTGTGCCGTCGCCGTAGACGAAGTCGGCGGAGTTGTCTGTCCATGCACACACCTTGACGACACGGTCGGCAACGGAAACCTCATTGTACGTTGGTAGCGCCGCACGTGTGAACGTGGCTGGGGTGTCGTACGTGAAGTGCGGGGCCCGAAGCAACGGAGCCCCACTGGGCATCTGTATATCTATTTATATGTGTAACTGTGTGCAACTGTGCGTGTGTGTGTGTCTCTGTGTTTATGTCCTTCCTCAGAAGATCAGAATATCACAAGAAAGTCAGCTTTTGGGCACCCACACATACAAGGAAAAAAAAAACAAATAAAAAAAACGGATGTAAAGCAAACACATGTTGTGCATATATATATATATATATATATATATTGCCGGAGTACTGTTTCGATAACTATGCGCGGTGGCGAACAACACCCCACCCAAAAAAAAAAGCCCACGAAATAACACGGACTTAATTCAGTCCTCCAACCGCATTCGTACTTGCACGTTGTTAACCAGGTAACCGTACAGCTCCATCCCGGACAACTCCAAGTGGTGCGCACCAACAGCGTCAGGGCCAGTGAGCTCCAGTGCGATATAGCGAAATGCGCACCGCTCACCTGAAGTGCACTGCCATATATCCCGCGTGTCCGAGAGAACACGCTCCTCATCGATGTTGAACGCAGCCACGTTGAACGGTGCACTGCCCAGCGTATGGTTATGCCTCTTCTCGTCCAGCACAACCCAGCGTGAGCGGTCACGGCTGCCAAGGAGACGCCATGAGCGCAGCGCTGCGTGCTCTGTTGCGTGGCCGTGACGTAGTGCGTACGCTTCGCCAACTACCCAGCGCCGGTCGCCAAAGTCAATTTCAATCCGCGCCTTCTCCTGAGAAGCGGTGCGAAAGCGTTGCCTCTCAAGCACAGCGGGCGTAGTGCGTGCAGCATCAATGGCACTACAGAGGAAACTCAGCTCTCCGAGCACAATGGGAGCACTGCACTGCACCCGCACTGCGTCATTCTCTACGGGGTTGCGAAAAGGCTTCGTGCCGCCAGCCGTGGCAATGTAGTGAAATACACCATCCTGTAGAGCCATACACGCCTTGCTGTTGTTGCTGTTACCAATTCCTGTTGGTACTGCTGTTGAGCGCAGGGGAAGATGCACGGCGGAGCTGGTGATGGGAACAGTGAGGGCGGAGGGAAGAAGGGATGGTACCAGCTCCTGCACGAGTGTCAAGTGCCGCTCAGCCACAAGAGGGGCGGAGGTCACGACGTAGAAATCCTGGTCCGGCACATGGAAGAAGGCGGACTCGACGAGCAGCTCCACAACGCGAAGCTGCGCGGCGGCGCGTTCAACAACGTCCCGCTCACGTTCCTCCACCCGCGCCTTCTCACCAACCAGCTGTTTTTCCTTCGCCGCGATGCTTTCAAGGACGCGCTGTAGCTGCGTGCGGCGGAGGCCACAGCTGTCCCGCAGCATCGCGACGAGCTCCTCCTCGCGCAGGCGAACCTGCCGCACGAGTTGGTCGGACTCCGCGTGCAGACGGCGGGCCGTCTCACTCTCCCGCACGTCCAGCACCCCGAGCTGCTCCTCCACCGCCGCGCGCAGCTCACCCAAGTCCAACAGCCGCTTCTCCGCCTGCTCAGCCGTCACCACTGCGTGGTGTTTCACCTGCTGCCACGCCCTCGCCTCCCGCTCCTCCTCGCTTGTGGATGCTGCGGGATCGAAGTGCACGTCCTGCAGCATTGCCTTCACGCTAATGCACCTCGCCGCTCTCCAGGCCTGCAGCACCGCTGGTGCGGGGGGAAAGAAGCGGCACAGGTGGGGCGGGAGTGCACACAAAGAACAGAGAGAGGAAAGAAAAGCAAAAAAAAGAAGAAAAGGCATCAGCAGCAATCCCCCTTCCACCCCCGCAGCCGGAGCCACTCTTACACTCTTACACACACACAGAGACAAAAAATCAGATCAAAATGTCACAGCGGCAGAAACCTTGCGGTGAGTGAAATTGGCGGTGGTCCTTTTCTTTTCATCTTTGATTTTTTCCTCCCCTCTCCTTTCGGCTTTGCTTCCTCCCTTCACGTTCCCGTCTCAGTCCAAATAAAAAAAAAAAAGAGAAACAAAAAAAAAAGAATCCGAAAACAACGAAACATGACGTCGGGGATCACCTCCGCATGTCGCACCCTCAACCTGCGCCACAACAAGTGCCTCAACTCCGCCTTCACTTCATTCCCGCGGTGCCTTGCGAGAGTTGGCACGTAGTTGGCGGCGGTGGACTCCCCTCTGGTGTTAAGTCGCGCCATAAAACACCTCACCGACAAATGGACAGACACGCATTGAAGAGTGAGGGCGAACCAAACGTATGCGCCAGCGTCGCCCATCCTCTTTAGTCCTTTCCCCATTCCCCTCCTCACCCACCCATCTCACACCTCTTCCGTGTGCACGCTTATATGGATGTGTTGCAGATACATAAATGCATCTATCTGCATCTGTGTGTATGCGTTTCTGTGTTCGTTAGCATCCCTTCTTCTCGCTTTATTCGCAGTAACTCTTCTTCCACCTTGTTTTTGTTTTCTGTTTGTTGGATCTCCTTATCATTCTTGTTTTCTTTCGTGTTTCGTTTTGTGGTGGCCTGTCAGTGATGATCACAAATCTGTTTTCATCATTTTCCACATCCTCTTCGTCCTTCCAATAATAATAATAATAATAATAACAATAATACTACGACACACAAACACACACACAGAGCTGCACATGTCGATGCCTGTGTTTTCGCGTTACCGCGGCGGCACCTTCAGGACCTTAATGAGCGTTGCCAGTAGGTTGATGTCGTCCTCCGAGAGCTCATCCTTGAATTTCTTAATCGCATCGACGGAGGGCCGGTTGATAAGCGAGAAGGCCGAGTCCGACTTGTCGAACTGGCGGCCGTACACAACACCGGTCTCGCCCGAGTTAATCTTCACTGCACACTCGTTCCCGATACGTGCGACCGGGACGTTCTTGTTCTCTCGCTCCAGCGACATGACGCGACCCAGCAGCAGCGGCATGTCACCGCGCATCACCGCAAGCGGTGTGCCGGGGCGCAGCTGCCCGCGCTCCACCTTCACTGGGAGAATGATCGGGTCCGAGTTGTGAATCGCATCGCCGATGATGGACAGCTGCACAGGGAACACCGCAATGGCGCGCGCCCGCTCCTTCTCACGGTTCTCGTAGTCCTCGATGTACCGCGTGAACATGTCGAAGAGGTGGTATATGATTTTGGCCTCGAAGACATCGATCTCATTCTTCTTGGCGATGTCGCGTGCGTCTTCGGAGACGTTGACGTCAAAAACCAACACCACCGCGTAGCGCGGCGCCTTGCGCTTCATCGAGAGCACCTGAATCATGTGCCGCTTGTGCAGTGGGCCGATGGAGGCGCTCGCAACAGGAATCTTCATGTCCTTCAGGAAAGCCAGAAGCGCCTCGAGCGAACCGAGTGTTGAGCTCTGCACCGTCACACCAATGCCGTCGGGGCTGAGCTGGTCGGCAACGCTGTTGGCCTCCTTCATGACCTCCTTCGCAATCGCATCCTTGTTGTCGCCACTGTGCACAACAAGTAGCGGCGTGCCGGGAATGACAAACTCAAGATCATTGGCAGCAATTTTGATTCCCATCGCTGCCTTCATGTGTTTGTGATGGACGTATTCGCCCCGCACACGAAGCTCCTTCAGCGGTTGCGGCGTGAGAAGCGCACGAATTTGCGTGAAGATAGGACCATTCTGGCCACAGAGACAGATGTTGTCCCCTTCGTGCAGTTCACCGTTGATAAGGATGGCGTCGACTGTAACACCGTACCCTGTGATAGGCTTGACCTCGAGAATAGTACACTGCAGGTCGTCCTTGTAGGTGACTTTTCCCTCCATGAATTGCTGCACGAGCTGAATCTCTAGCAGCAGAAGGTCGGAAATACCCTCTCCTGTCTTGGCGGAAGTTGGCACAATGGATACGACTTTACGCACATCCTTATTCTTGTAGTACAGCTCGGAATTAAGACCTTCTGCGAGAAGTTCCTGTTTTACCTGTGAGAGGCGCGTGTCGAACTCACTGCGGACATTATCCATCTGTTTAGAAAGAGTCTGCTCAAAATCCATGTTGTTGTACGGGGCCCACTCATAGAGCCGGTCCACCTTGTTGAGGGCGATGATGAAGGGGCACTTCTTCTGTCTCAGAAGACGAATAGACTCGCGTGTCTGCGGCTCCAACCCGTGCATGATGTCCACAACGAGGATTGCGATGTCGCAGAGGCTGCTGCCGCGGCTGCGGAGATTTGTGAAGGACTCGTGTCCGGGCGTGTCAATAACAAGGAGACCCGGCACATTCAGATTGTAGTTGTACTTCTTGTTGATCTCCGCCGTCGCGTCGACGAGGGCATCGCGGGGGAAGAAGGTGGCGCCGATCTGCTGCGTGATGCCGCCGGCCTCGCCGCCCTGAACGTTCGTGGCACGGATGCGGTCAAGAAGACTCGTCTTGCCCGTATCAACGTGGCCGAGCACGCAGCAGATGGGCGAACGGAGGTTCACAACGCTCTCGAGGACGTGCTGCTTCGCTCGCTCTGCTGCTGCCGCCTCGGCGCGTGCCTTTGCGCGCTCCTCCCGCGCCTGTTGCCGCCGCTGCGCCCGCTCCGCGCGTTCGGCACGGATACGCACGTTCTCCGCATGGCGTGCTTCACGCCGGTCGTCACGCTCCATGAGCGCCTCCCAGTCGTCCTCGTCGACCTCCCCGTCGGATTCCGTTGCCACTGTCTTCTCGTCGTCGTGGTCGCTCTCCTCTTCCTCCTCCTCCTCTTCCTCGTCCTTGGGAGGCGGCGCCACGGCGTCCACGTGGCGTGGTGCAGCTGCCTGCTGGTGCTGCTGCGGCTGCCGTTTCGGCTTTNGCTCTTGCCGCTGCTCCTCACGTATCTTTTCCACGTCTGGCAGGATGAATCCCGCCGCGGCCATGCGCTCCAGCGCCCCGTTGCGTGCTCCCTTCTTGGTGTCCTTGCGTGTTTGCCGCTCCTCTTCCTTGCGGCGCTGGCGCTCGCGTGCGCGCTCCTCCTCCTCAAACTTACGCTGCTCCTCGGCGATGCGCTCCTCCTCACGCAGGCGCTGCTCCTCCTCTTCCTCCTCCTTCCGCCGCCGCTCCTCCTCCTCCTTCTGCTTCTCCATGTGCTGCTTCAGCTTCGCCAGCATTGCGGCGGGCGGCCCCTTGCGCGCTGGCGCCCCCTTCGGGGCTGCCACTTTGGGACCCTTCGGCGGCATCACTCACCACGGTATTGCAAGAAAAACAACAAACAAAATTGGTTCTGGAAACAGCACGCCTACACGCAGGTGCGGCACAGCCTCTCTCGTCTAATGGTATTATATTATTTTTTTCTCCCCCCCCTGTCTCCTTTTTCGTTTATTATTATTCGTTCTGTGTTGTCGTATTCGTTACGCCCCCACCCCCACCTTTCAACTTCGTCTGTTGGGCTTGAAGGAAGCTGCTCTGCTTCTCTGTGCGTGTCTCTGTGTTTCTTTTTTTGGTTTTATTTCAGTATTATAAATAGCCTTTTCTTTTCTTTTCTGCTTTGGGTTAGTTGAATCGCTGCTTGTGTATGTATGTATATATAGATAGATAGATAGCTATAGATATACGGGATGAGGACTATGCGGTGCGGATGCGTGGCGTTTTTTTTCTCCTAGTTGATATGCGAAGCCGCCCCACTACTCCAACGCACCGGATGACTCTGACACCGTCTCGCTGCGCGCGCCCCGTTTCCCTCTCGCTGCTGCAACACGCAGAGTCTCTACACACACCACCACGGCAGCCTCCTGCAACTGCTGCTACTGCCCTCGTCGTGCTTTCAGGTGGGCGATCTCGCTGCAGCGGTCGGCCTACTAACACACACTCCTGTCGTGGAGAAAAAACTAGCTTCCCAAAAGACTTCAGCTTGAGCGTTTGATGCTACAACACGTCGGGCAGGGACAACAATAATAACAATACAAAAACGAAAAACAAAGAGAATTAGAAGAACGACATGCAGCAAGAAAGAAAGAGATGCGGCTCAAGCAGCCGCCCCAAGCGAAGTACGCCAGCATAGGAAGAAGAGGTGCAGATATGCATGTGATTGTATCTGTGTATGCGATAGGGAGTCAAAAGACTGTCTCT